TTTGCATACCTCCTTACACAGAGAGGAATTTTTGCTGGTTTAACTACCTTCTCTGGTATTTGTAAATATACTGATAGGAAACTATGAGATTTTATGGATATACTTGATTGTTTTATTTTAATGAAGCTCACAGTTGGCTGGAGTTAGCAATATGAGCAGGCCTTTATGCAAGCACCACTTGAACTATGCCAGTGTCTGAGTGAGAGTTTTTAGCAGGTTCACAGGGATGCTGTATGTGTGTAATAAGAGCATAGCAACAACTAGAGTTTGCTGTCACAGAATCACAGAATGGTTGGGGTTGGAAGGGACTTCTGGAGATCATCTAGTTGTACTTGGGATGATTCAGAGATGTGCTGCACACTTTCACATTCACTGCAGTTTTCTCAGACTTCTCCAGGTTGATGCATCCTTGGCAAAGGAAGAGGAGACTCAAGCTCTCATTGTGCCCTGACAAGCAATTAACTCAAATATTTTTGAGTACCTAAAAGGCTAAAGCAAAACTGTATGTTCTCAGTGTACAAGGACACTTTGTAGCGAAGATCCTGCCTGTTTGCTTCATGACATTTTTTATCTGTTAGCAGAAATCATGTAGGAGTAGTCTCCAGAGTGATTTTGTGCAGATCCTTTGTGCCAGGCTGAGTTATCTTCTCAGAAAATAGATTAGTTAGGGGATGGATGGTATGTAATAAGAGGCCATTAGTCGTGTCTGTTGGTCCATCATATGACCTACTTTTGATAAAAATGGATGGCAAAAGGGAATGATTTCAGCTATGATTAACAAATTTTTTTTTTTAAGTGTGAAATGTGCAGTGGCTTAGCTTTTCTCACTTGCACTAATGAAAATTTCTGAGTAGGCTTCCACATTGAAGTTGGCCACAAAATAAAGTTGCTTAAGTGAGGGAAGAAATTTTCTGTGCTTAAAATAATTGAAGGGAAAAAAGTTTACTAATTTGTGGGATGAAGATTTTACAAAGCCTGTTAGCTATTAAAATGTGTTACACCTAGATGGCAAAAGTCATTGCCTTCACAAGACTCAGGAGGAACAAGAAGGCTGATGCAAAACCTAGAAATTATAGTAGTAGGGCAGCAAATGAAATTAATTCAGTTCTTTGCAATCCTAAGGAGAGGTTTTGAGAAGACAGGTCAATTGTCTCAGTGCCTGTGGTTTGAAAGTTTTAAATTAATAATTTAACAGATTTCAGAAATCTTCTTGGCATAACAACAGCATTTAAAACATGTTGCATGTGAACGGCAGGACAGCTTATAAAATCTGATAGGGGAAGTCCCTAAAGTCCCTAAACAAAGATAAATCTAAACTTACTTTGTCAGTTATTTCTGGGTTTAGGACCTAGTAAGACTCTTGCAGCTCCTTCCCTTATGATGATGACTTATTTTGGATGTGCCAGTTTTAAATGCAGAAGTGTAAAACACCTTTTTTCCTCTACATCAAAAAACCTTGATTAAGGTTCTCTTGAATGGGTAATCTTATCCTTTTGTAAAAATAATTGGTTAAAATGTTTCATTTACCAACTAACATTGTCTGTTATTTTAAGGCTAATATTTCTTAAATTGACAGTTTAGAAGAAGCTACTGAGTGTATTCTTTGTATCTCCTCATACATAAAAAAAGAGTGTATTTAATTACATAAATCTAATATTCATTAGCCCTGTTAGCTTAATTTCTGGTTGGTTGGTTGGTTTTTCTTGTTTTTGGGCCCTGTTTGGAAAGCCTTATTAATTCTTGCAGCCCTTCTAGGACGTTTAAAAAAAAACCCTGTAATTTACCTATTGTGGACTCTGTGGTGGTTTGAATATCGTCAGAACTGCTGAGAAACTGCAAACATGAATATTTTAAAGGATAGCCACTCTGGTAACTCAGAAATGGGAGACGACCTACTGGTAGGGAAACTCTACATTCAAGTGCTGTAAAAGGGTCCTACAGGCACATTTCCAATGCTCCAGATGACTGAAGAATTACATATCCATGTCTGACCAGATTCAGGGCAAAGATTACATGGTACAAATAGGACTGTTTGATTTGTAGTAAAAGAAAAGAAAAAAAAAAAAGAAAAGAAAAAGATAATTTTACTTTTCATCCTTCCTGTGATACTTTAAAAAAACCTAAAATATTTAATGCAGATTTTGCAAGTGAAAATTAACATCCCCAAGGATTGTGAAGGCTAACATTTCTAGTTAATTCTATTTGGTTGGGGGTGTTGTTTTCCTCAGCATTGATGGGTTCCTTGTGTCTCCTTGTGTCAGTTGGGATCCTTGTCTCCCTTGTGCAGCATCACGCCTGCTTGGGGAAACCCAAAGTGGTACTTGTGGTGAAAATGAGGCTTCTTTTTATGCCCTAGAGCAGGTGGGGGATCATCTTGCAAAGGATTTCCTAACCCCTTTTGCAGCAAAAAACCGATCTCTGAGTTTGGGCTGGAGTATGAGGCATTACTGTTGCTGTTGTAAATAACTGAGCTGAGAAAGATGGGATTCCAAAGTGCAAACCAGTGCCTGCCTAGAGGGGGGCACTGAAATGCTTGTCTTCATGCACATGGTGTGGTGTTTGTGGGCCTGTAAAGGCTGAGTGCTTTCCACTCCAATACTCTGCAATAACCCATGTTATCTGAACTGGCTGACTGTGGGCTTTTTGGTTTGGTTTTATTTTTAAATGTGGCTTTAGATTGTGAATGAGGAAGCTGCCTTTAAAAATGTTCTTGAATTCTGAGTTTAATTCCCTTTTTTATGTTGGTCTTTCATTTGTAGATCCAGAAGAGAAGGGGCAGCATTCAGCAAAAAATGCTTGTCCTTTAATTTTTATGTAATTGAATAGCAGCTTTCAATTCAACTGTACTGGAATTTATTGAAAAAGAGATATTAGTGTAGTGTTTGTTCAGATTTACATGTTTTAAAGAGAAAAGCTGGCAATGTACTCAGTTCTGCTCTCCTTACTCTTTCACAATAGTTATTCCCTCTTAATTGCGGTACCTTATGCAATAAATAGTCCCATGAGTTTCAGTAAGACTGTTTAGGGAATTGAATACCACAGTGTTAGCAGAAATGGAAAAAATGAATAATGCTTTTAAGAAGTTCAGGATTTGAATTGCTCATAGTTTGTACATGTATCAAATGTTAATTCTGTTTTGTTTACTTATGGATCAGTTTAAGTTATTACAGAAGACCATCATATTAATGATGCCTTTTATGACACCTGGTGTGGCATTTGGAATCCTGTTAATTAAATTCTACTTGAAAATTGTATTTTAGCCTTGAAAAAATGTTTTTATATTGCAAAGTACAGCTTGAATTGGTTATGTTTTCTTATGAAAAGTAAAAAACATCTCTTAAATTTTATAAGTTCCACCAAAAGTAATCACATGGACACGGCTTGGCTTATCCACACTTGAATTCGTGGTCAAACCTACTGAGTATTGCAGGTATATAGAATGTTTCTGTTAAAACTGCTCTGTTTCTCTTGAGTGTCCTAGTAGGACCTTTGTGGGGGTTTTGAAGCTTTCCCTGTCTCTTTGTCCCTGACAGGGCTGGCCAAGATCATCCTGTGTCTTGCAGCTGTGTAACCTGTACATGTCCTGACTGCTTTGCTGCCCTTGTGGACGAGCTCTGGCTTGAGTCCCGTGCCCATTCCTCCCATGCATGAGAAAAACATAAGTACAAAGGAAGAAAAACTCTCATTTGTGTTTAGAAAATATGTTTTGTTTTAGCTAATGAGTATAATATCAATATTACAATTTTCTTTTTAAAATCAAAACAAACATTGTAGCTGTGCTTTGTCCTGGATTTATCTATGCTGTTCATTAACATGACATGTCATTTTAAAAATGCCATTTAAGCAAACCCATCTGGTTTGCTCAGATGTAAATGAAGATCAGCTCAGCATGAAGCTTGTTGATTTTTTTCTAAACCAGAACGTTTTATCTGCTTTTGACTTTACCAAATTAATATTTTTTCATCTAAATTAGCACATGTAGAGAACTGCCTTTCTGTTGGAGCAATGTCATAGCTATCCCATTCCTTCACTCAGAAAAAGGAGAAAAGAAAGTAGAAAGCCCTTATCCTTAAAATGGGGCTCATTTGTGGATAAGAATTTAATGATTTTTATTATTTTGTGGTTACTCAACTGGATAAATGTGGAACTAAAATACCGAGTGTTGTTTTGGTCCTTGTTGGTAACTGAAGTTTTAGGAAACAGAAGTCTTTTAAGTGAAAGTCTTGATAGTTCATAGATGGCAGAAGTTCGTAGTATTCATATGTGAATATGACTCCTATACAGAGTTTGTAGCTTCCATGGGAATTCCAGAATTGGACTTACAGTAACAAATAATTTAGTTTTTAATGAGTAGAGTGGTGGTCTTTGAGTATATGTAATTTAAACTATGCAATTCATCTCCTAAATGTATCAGAGAACTTACGGATTAGTGTTAGGATCTGTGACAGCCTTGTATTTTAGCAGAAGAGTTTGGAGGCAGAGCATGCTGTGGCTCTGCACCATACAAACTTTATGCTTTTAGAAAGTGTTGACTGGGCAGCTTCAGTCCTTGCTGCCTTTCAGGATTTTGAACTTCCATTGTGCAAAAGGACTTATGAGGCAGTAGCTACTTTGGAAACTGATTTATGAAAAAGGCTCTGTTTGGAGGATAATATTCTGTACTCTTCATTTCTGCAAGCTGCCCTGCTCTTTTCATTAGCGGGTGCTTCTCTAGGAGGCATTCCTCTCATGCTTTTGTTCTAATCTCTTTTTTCACGACATGAAAGAAAATCCTCTGTTTCATGTGCTCTGTGGAGTTCCTTTCATCCTTCAAAGTGATGTTACTTATTTTGCAATGTAATTGCCTGTATGAGCTTGCTTTTGAGCTGGAAAGCTAAGTACTGTTTTTGTTGGCAGGGTTATAATGTTTGCCCATTTACCACATGTCATCGATTGATAACAGTAAGGAAGTAAATAACTGAAGGATTTCACCTGTTTTCTCATTCTTCTATTTCTCACAGGTTCATTGCTAAACCATGTGCCTTAGGCCTTAAAGTCCAAGCCAATGGACCACAGAAAGCTCAACCTAATGCTATTCTGGAAAAAGTTTTCACAGCTATTACAAAGGTAGAGTGTCTAACTAAGATATTTATCTTACAAAGTGGGATATTGTGCTACAAACTATGTCTGAATAAAGCAAAGCTAATAGATAAATGCAGTGCTGCATTTTTACACCTAAAATCAGAAATGGAAATATTGGGGACACCATTAGTATGCCAGCTTCAGCTGTTGTGCATTCCTTTGTGATGTCTCCTGTAAGCTTTTAACCAAAAAGTTGTCACAGAAACACTTTGTACCTGTCATATGGCCACCTACTCTTTTTTTGCTTCTTATCTATTAGAAATTTCCACACATTCTTTGGGTTTTTTGGAAAAAAAAAAGAGTTAATTGTGAACCACTAAGATTGATACTGTATTTTCCATGAAACTTAGAGCTACTCCTTCTAGGGGAACTGCCTGAGCACAGGGCACTGGTATCCCAGCTACAGGAGAAGGAGATAGAAAAGTGGGAGAAACTGACTGAATAATAGAGCCTGCAAATTTTTTTTTTTCAAGTTTTTCCCCACAACTTACATCTTTATGTCTACATCTCTCACCGTATGACATCTCAACTAAACCTCTCTGTCATTCTGTCCATACTTTTGAAACATCCTAAACTTTTCTGCAGGAGCCTTTCAGTCCCACCTTGGCTCCAGCCTGCAGCTGGACATGCCACAAAGTATTAGAGTCAGAGGGCAAAATCGAGTGCAGTGCCAAAGACAGTTGAAATATTCTGTGGATCTGCCTTGCTTGTGTGTTCCACCCTATCCTGAGATCACCATGGCACTTGGTGTAGCTTTTGTCCTGTTTTCAGGGAGGGACTCATACATACCTTCTTTCTGAAGGCTGCAGCACATGCTCTCACTCGGACTCAGCTGAATGGTTGGATTTTGTTTCTTGTGGGGGTTTTGTGGTCTTTTGCTTTTTTTCTACTTTTTTTTTTTCTCCCCAAGATTTCCCTGTAGAATCTGGTAGTCTGACAAAGGGCCTGAAATACCTGTAAGCGTGAAGAGTTCCAGAGGAGCTCCAGCAGAATCTGGTAGCTACTCTCAGAGAAACAGTCCAGTTTAACTAACTACCTTTTTTGAATCACACACAACAGTTATCTCTAGTCAAACTCCCAAGAGCTGCATCAAGTATTTGATTTTTCAAAGGTTACAGACAGGGGTTTTCTTAACCTTTCATTATATCATAGTGGCTACTTTTGTTGACTAAAAAACTTCTTTGAGATGGATAGCAAATACTTTATCCTTCTCTTGTCTCATTTCCTTTTTTTTCGTGTTTTCATGGAGGCTGTTTTTGCTGTTTTATATCTTGTAGCATTTAAAAAGTTTTTGTTGTGAGAGCTCTTCTATCTCATTCAATTATGTAACTGACTTGCAGAAATAAAGCAAAACTTCAGAAAACAGATTGACCAAAAGCTTTTTCTGTTTCTTTAAAAAGCAATGTGATCAGGAGAAATATATAAGTAGTACTCATGCTATGCTGTACATGTAGAATTGCTGAATGATTGAAGATAGGGCTTGTACGCTCTTAAAATTAAGAACAGACTTATTTTCTTTTGCCTTACTTTGCCTCTGCACTGGTTTGCAGCTGTGCTGATGGTATGAGAGTTCCACATTTTCTGCTTTGGAGAATATTTGTGTGTAGTTAATTCTCAGAAAAAAATTCCCTCTCATTGTTGTCAAGGTGATTTTCCTTTTGAAGTTGTAACTTTGTTTAACGACCTCATTTTTTAAGATTAAAATGCAGAAACATGGGATTTATCTTCTTTCTGTGTCAGTCAAACCATCCTCTCTACTGCAACAGATGATAGGGCAAAGATCCTGATGTAGGAGGATGAAACAGGCATAGCATGTGGCAGGCAGTGAGTTGTTTGTAAGACCTGCTGCTCAAGAGATGCATGGCATTTTATACCTACTTACCTTCAGTTCCAAGTTTCAAAGAAGTTTTAATCCCATTGTTCCCTTTAAGTTTCTTACTAATAATGAGCTGCATGTCATATTACAGGATCTGTTCTTCTAGATTAATTCCAGTCACTGTAAAGGTATTTTGACGGGAAGCTGCCAGTAGAGATTTCTGTGAACATATTTCTGTGTATCTTTGTGTCTGTCAGGCAGCCTTGATAAGAAGTCAAGAGTCAATTATAGTGGTTCTTTAAAACATTAATGCAGTTGGGCAAGAAACTAACTTTTACACTTCTCTGTTCTGTAGCACCCAGATGAGAAGAGGCTGGAGGGCCTCTCCAAGCAGCTGGACTGGGATGTACGCAGCATTCAACGTTGGTTTCGACAAAGACGCAACCAGGAAAAGCCCAGCACTCTTAGGAAGTTCTGTGAGAGCATGTAAGGATGTGTGTTCTCTTCTAAAGTTTTGCTTAGCCCATGTTCTCATCAGTTTTCCTCTTTGTTCTTCACAGGTATTTCTGTAGACGGGTAAAAAATTACACAAATTGTTAGAATATGACTTCTTTAATGAGAAAAAAAACCTTCATTCTCGTGAAGGAGTCAGATGATGCTTTTTGTGTACTTTCAATGGTCAAAAGCTTTCAGAAGTTAAATAGCTGTGATTCTATACTGTCAGAGTGCCAGCCTGATTCTTTAAGACAAGTCATCTTGTGTTAGAGTGCTTACAGCCCTACCTTTAGCTATAAACCTGACAGAGATCTGAGAGGGAGGAGTAAAGATAAAAGCCAGCTGGGTTGTTAAACAAAAAGAAGACAAAAGATAAATTGACTGAAAATTATTGCCCTTTAATAAAAAGAGAAACTTAAGGGTCAGAATGCTTAAGTCCTTTCATTGGTATTTACAGCTAAAATCCTCCTTATTAAATATTTAATAAAGCCAGGCAAGTGAGATTATGGATAAACCTAGTCATCCTGTTGCCAGCAGCTGGTGGCCTTAGATTTACTGATTTTGGAAATCTGTGAAGAGCACCCTTTTTTTCTTCAAGGGTTGTAGTTGTTGTCTGCTTACCTTGTAGGAAAGGCTGTGGAATCCTGGGAAAAAATTAAAACTGTTAGAGCTAGTGTATTTGACTGGTATATCTTGCTGCCTCTGTAACCCAAAGACTTCACTCTCTTGCACTAATGCCAGCACATTTGGGATGACCTAATTTTTAAGAAAAACTTAAACATACCATGAAATACCATCCCAGATTGGATGGTAATGGGTGCTGAACTTGCTCCTTTGTGGCATTCATTATGGAGAAAGCATGCAGATGACAGCTATGAATGCAGAATGGAAAGTAAGGTCATGCTGTAATGAAACACTGACAGAATTTAGTGCCAGTTTCGGTTTCGTTTAGAGGGAGCCATTAAGCATTATTGCAATATGTGTACTTGATAGTAATGATAATACTTGCCTAAAAAGAAGCAACATGGCATAAATAATAGCTGGATAGTTCAGGTTCCATCTGTTAATGGTTTGAGGAGGTGCAGTGGGAGTTGCCTCCGTTTCTGTTTGTACATAGTGCTGTGATAATGAGGTGTTATCCAGCCAACCGTGTGTGCCTTGCCCTGGGAGCATTTCCAGTGGTGGAGTATGCACCACCAGCTGACCTATCCCACGTTGGATGAAGTTGTTGGCAGGAAGTCAGACTAGCACTGGGAAGCCAGGACTACCCTTTTATCCCCTCAGTATGGGTGTTAAACTCTTGTCTAGTTAAATCTCTACCCATCAGGGCACTAAGCAAGGTACTTCAGTATGTTTTGACTAAAGAAATTCTTCAGTATGAGGTCTGTAGCCTTTTCACAGCTATTGAGTTAGTGGGGTGGCTTTTTGGATGTAGCGTCTGTGTGGCAGCTACTGGGCTACATAAAATACATGTCATGGGAAGGGGAGCGCTCAAGTCTTCAGTAACTGGGGTGTCAGTGGAGAGTTTCATAGCCAGGACAGAGAACGAAATGTGTCCTTATGTAATAAACAAGTACAGAGCAGGCAGAATGACAGTGATCGCCGCCTACACCTTCATACTGTTGAACTGCTGTTGTCCCTCCAGAGAAGACTTGAGTTTTGCTGGCAGTGGTATTGATTGACTGGCTTGGGAAGAAAAGTGACAGAACCCACAGCAAATGTGGAGCTACTCTAAAAAGAGTTCCACTTCTTTTTACATGGAGACAATTCGATTTACTGCTAGACAAAGTGTTCCTTGGGCACAGAGTGGCTTTTCCATGATGAAAGGGAGAAGGCAGCTGTGCCAGAAGGGCTGTAGGTCATTTGTGACTGCCTTATCTTTCTTGCAAATGAATAGTGTGGGCACTGTGTAAGGTAGAGGAGCTTCAACAGGACAGAGGCTGAGAGTGAAATTTAGTGATAAACACACTTGCCTGAGATGCGTGACACCCAAGATCAAGTCCCAAACACATTATACCAGTAACTTCATCACTAGATTCTTGTCGTCCCACATTTCTCACTTTCTCAACCCCTTCCCTTCATTTTCTTTTCAAACAATTCCAATTCTATTCGTGAACAGAGTGCAGGGAAACTCCAAAACCTAAACTGCTTTGGTGTTTGGTTTTTTGGTTTTGTTCTGGTTTTTTCCAAATGGAATAATTCCTTTGCTGCCAACCTTTGTCAGATATCCTGACCATTGGCAGATTGTGATTATATGAAGAAAAAGGAAGTAATAAAATCTCTGTCTATGCACACTGTTTGTGCCATGGCATTATAGTGAAAATAAACTACTTCTTCAGGAACCTTCACCAGCATTCTCCCCATAGTTTTGTGTGTCAATCTGAAAGAGAAGGTGTGATTTGATTATTGGAGGTGTAGAGACCCTGGTGGTGAGGCTTCAATGGCATCATGCACCTGCTTAAGATTTCAGATGTTAATGGTTATAAGTATCTATTTGAAATATGAAATAGATAATTTCTCCAGGTGGTGATTAATGATCCATTATTAGTTTTTCGAGGATTTGGTCATTCTGGCTCGAAACTTGGAGTTAGAGGCAGTCACAGTTTGCAGTCACTAGGAAAGGCATCCATGTGGTATAACCTCAGATTGCAAGGATCAGGCACTTCGCTCACTCTATTAGCTGCTGGGGTTAGTCTGTCCCTAGCTTTTCTTTCTCTTGCGTGAATTTAGGCAATTTTGGCTCCTTTTCTCAACTTGAAAGATCCAAGGTGCATAAAGGAGAAGACAAAGTGGTGAACTGAGTGTGCAAAGTGGACTTTTCTACTTCCATATATTTCTGTTGGGATTTTATTATTCTTTTCTTTCTGTCCCCATGGCACTGCCTAATATCAAGAAAATTACTTTGCTGGTTGCCAGACCAAATATAGGAACCAAGAATGTCTTTGTTAAAGTCTGATGTGTCAGAAAGCCAATGCAGTAGCAATTCCCAAGCCACTTCCCATTTCTTCCCAGTTTCAGTGTGTTGCGCTGCTGCTCACGCTACCAGTGCGTAGGCATGTCTGGTTTTCTCAAGGAATAAGTAGTATAGAAAGAGACAGCATTCTATTCTCCCACCTTGTTGTCCAGATCAACATGAAAGAACCTGTGATGGCATAACTTATTAGCCTGGCACTTTGGAATGTCATCAGGCTGATGACTTGTCTGTCCTACAGCTATGTACATTTAAGCAAGATGTTTATTAGAGACATTTACATAGTTTCCAAGGAGTGGCTAGAAGAAACATATGGCCAAGAGAGGATTTTTGAGTTTATGAAACGTTCTGTGTGTGAAAACATAGAAATGTGCCAACTGAAGAGCCAAAGATCCATTCCCCCCCCACTTTCCTTTCTAGAAGAAGCTTGGATACTAAAATGTTTGTAAGTGAGGTGTCTTTTAGTTTTGACGTAGGCACATTGCTTTGAGGGACATTTCATCTATCTAGAGTTGGGGTGGGTTTTTTTTTGTCATGCACATTTGTGTGAAAATTTTATAAGCTGTTTACAAGTTCTTGGCCATACTGCTTTTCTCAAGTAGCAGAGTAATTCTGTTCTGCAAAATTGTATTGGAAAAATAACTATGCAAGCGAAAGAAGTTAAGACAGCTGTTTGGTTATTGAAATTCTGAACTGTGCTGATACAAATCTTAACAAAATGCATAGAATAATTCTTCAGTCTGTGCTTTGTGTGTAGAAGTAAAGCCCTAGAAAATAAATAGACTTCTAGCACTGAATTTTTAATATCATCAGGCCCTTTTAAGCTTCTAAAAAATATCTGATCTGAGCAAAAATATGTGGTAAATGGTATTTTGGGTCCATTTAATTCTGATTTGTCAGCTGCTTCAGTGCTACATGCAGTGAAGGACTAACCAGTGTTTCATGACCAGAGAAGAGAACAAGGGTCTGTGAAGTCGTGCTACATGCTCTGGAGTGAGTGTGATAGTTACTCTTCAACGGCAGTGGAATTGCAGTATCTGCCTTGTCTTCCTCTGCTGTTTCCCATGGAACAGGAATGGCTGTTCCTCCTCACTCTCTAACAGGAATGAGGCATAATCTCTTTGTTGGTTTTCTGGTCTATTCAGGAAAGCTAAGGCACTGGTAACTCAACCAGCTGCTTGGTGAAGGGGGAACTGCACATCTGACTAGTATGCTGATAAAACAGTTAAAGGTTTTCCTTGCTATTGTACCTCTGGTTTCTTTTTTTTGTCTTAACTGGGCAGATACTTAATTCTACTGGTCCTTCTCATTGTAATGTGCTGCAGTGGCCTGTGTCCTGCTGTGGGCTGCGTCCAGGAGCTCCTGGGACAGGTGCTTCTGCTGACAAGTGATCGTAAGACAGCAGTCTCACCTAAAAGAGAAAGCATCAAGGAAAATCCAAAATTTCTGGAAGTCACAATGCAAGAGCAGCAAACTCTGCAATGAGGCATAGTATTGAAAGCCACTGTGTAATTACTGATTTCTTTCTTCTGAAACACTTAGTACTGAAACCGTTAATAGGACTGAAACTCTTCTATACAGGTGAAAAAAAGCAAATCATTTGCATTTTTCTCTTGCTGATCCTTAACTTACTTCTTTCAGTATTTCAGTTAGCTTTCTGTGACCTTGAGTGAAGTACTCTTTGGTGTGTCACAGAAAGTTACAATACTGCAGCAGATAATTTATATTTCTATTAGTGGTGTCTGAAGAACACAGTATTTTGTGATATAATTGAGGACTAGGAAGTGTATATTTGTGTACACCTCGCTGTGTCTGGATGTAGATTTCTTTTTTGCTTTTCTCCCTGCTATGGACTTAAGGGGAGTTCAGCAGTAAGAATAAGAGAAGGAGTATTCCTTCAAGAACGTAGCTGAGTTTATAGCCAAGAGACTGGTTTGGCTCAGGTCAGGCAACAAGTTTCCCCAAAGCTGCTAACTCACAACGCAACATGTCAAATCAGACCTGGCACTACTGAAAAGAT